TTCCCTGAGTGGGTGGAAGACAGAGTGAAAGCCTTCCAAATTGCCAGAGCCTGTCTGTCTCCTGTGGTGGTCTGCACCCTTGGCTCAAGAGAGAGGAACCTTACAGCCATCATGCTGGAGGCAGCAGGTGGCTGTGGGGAATCCCATGTACGAAGCTAGAAAAGGTGCTTCGGACTTCAGAGAAGCATAAAAACCAAGCAAACTGAATTCTACCCTTATTTTATTTTATTTTTGGTCATATCCTGTAACAGGGAAACACTCCGCCATTTTTTTCCCTCAAAAATCATTCCTAGTCACTGATCAAATATTTGTGAAATATCTGTATGCAAACTAGGTTGTTGTGGCTTCAGACAACAATACAGAGTGGTGTGATCAGAAATGTTCTAGGGGTGAAAGGAACTAAATTCTGTAACAGTGGATAAAATATAATCATATTCATTTAAATAATAAAGCAAAAGTACTCCTTAATTAAAATTACAGTAAATTCAATCACTATTGAATCTCTCTTCTCTGGGAGAAAACTGTTACATAAGCATGGATTTCATTATTATGCTAGCCTAATAAATCCCTGAAAGACATCTGCTACCCTCCTGACACTACTTCTCTCACCACATACAGATACAGCTTTCATCTCTGCGGTAGTCCATGCTACAAACATCCTTTTGTGGTTTCCTCACCCCATAATGTTTTCTGGAGGCGAAAGACCTATGGCCTTCCATTATTTTCTAACCTTTTCAGGCATCTGCAGCTGGGAGAAGGGATTTCTACTGAGGTATTCGTTTTCACAGGGCTGCCAGCTGACCATCCTCAGTTGTGGTGGTCAGTGTTCATGAAAATCAATCTGCAAATTTAACAGCATGAAACCAGATAGTTTCTTGTCATATTCAGACTTGTTCAGCAGCTAGCTATGTTTGATAGACAATGATTTGAAGTGCAGTGTGTTTTTATTTTGTTAGGGTTTGGATTTTTTCTTATGTGCTATTTTTTATCTATAAAATGCAAGGTAGGTGAAAGGGGGTTTCTTTAAAAAAAAAAAAAAATTCCTACGGTGAATATGCTTTCCTCCTAGAAATTCTATTTTTATTAGCTCAAAAATGATTAAAGGTTGAATCTTGTAATGCTTGATACGTCAAAGAGCTCTGGCTGCGTTCCACTTACAGCAAGCACCAAAAGAATAAGAATTTTTATTATCTTTCAATTCTAGTAACCTTTTAAAATTAAATGGCAGAATGGATTTTCCATATTTACTTAGCAATAAAATAGCAGACCCCTTTGCAGTTTATATTTAGCAGGAAAATACTGCTTTTAAAGAAAAAGTGTTAAAATTAGTACTTTTCCCCTTTTTGCAAATCTGCAATTCAGGAATGAATTAACATAACTGTGGAGAAAGAGCAGTTTTCATGGAAGCGGAATGTCTGACATAGACTTTCATTGGCTTCTGGTGACCCTGTGAACAGGAATATGCCTGTAAAAGTGTGGATTCTGTTCTGTTTATCATTTTACTATAATTTCACCTCCATATGATTTAGTTTCAGTCTGCGTTAGATTTACATGCTGCTTTTAATTGCTGCTGCAGCTCTGTAGTCTCCTTTAACAATCTTTTCTGGATTTTTTCAGACTGTACACTATTTAGTAATGCATCTAAGGGCACCTACACTCATGACAACCTGTGGTGCTCTCTCCTATCTCTCTTCTCCAAGTTCCACCATCTTTGCATTTACCTTCCATTGCTGCTCCTTGAGTAGCATTCATCCTTCTCCGCTCTCCTCCAAACCCCCTTCCTGCACTCAGTGCTGAGCTGTGCTGGCAGCCTCGTGGGGGACTCAGACACAGCACAGCAAAACTCAAGGCTGGGTTTAGGCTGCCACTGAAGAAACATCTGGCCACAGCTTTTTTGATGACATGCAGTTTAACAGGGACTTTCTTCATCTTTGTAACTAAATGCTTGGCCAGTATAGTTCCCTGATTAGAAAATTAATTCCTTGAGAAAGGTGGCCTGGAAAATAATCCTCTCTTCATCTCCCAAACCATTGAGGAAACTTACCCATTACTGTCTGTGTTTGCAGTACGTGGCCAAGAAAAAGGATATGGTAGGGTCTTTGAAAGCTGTGCCAAAAAATCTTGATGATTAGAAATTGAGAATTGACAGCTGTGACGATAATGAGAAAGCTGCAGATCCTGAGGATAGGCCAGAGAGAATAAATTCAAATCCTACTTAGAAGTTTAGATTACATATCTCTAAAGCAAATTTCTGAAAAAACATTTTTAGTTCCAGATATATTCATTGCTTTTTCCTCCTCTCAGCTTAACCTCATATAAAATTGCTTCTGCATAGTTCCTATCAAATTGAATTTTGATGGGATCTAAACAGTGTGGGAAATGAAGACCATGACTCCTTCCTGGGCACCAGCTTGTTTCAGTTGGTTGTGGACCTTCTCTTAAGTTAGTTGTTCCTCTTAGACCAATATGATCATTTCTGTTCAGACGGTGGAAAAAAGGCCAAGGACTGCCTGAACCTGCCAGAAAGCTCCTGTCAAGAAACCAAATAAAAACAGAGGATGAACAGCATTTGAAATTCGTAGTAAACCCAGAGATTTCCTATGAAAACTAAGCAAAATTGTTTCTATTCATGAGCTTCTAAATTGAATACATCAGATCTAGTGCTTTGAAGTGTTGTTTTTTTTTCACTTTAATCCCCTAATTCTCATAAAGAGACTAGATAATCTTCCATTTATAGCAATGTAAAGCTTAGTTGAAATATACAATATTGTTTATTGTTTATCTATGCAAAGTATGAACTTGCATTTAAAATAGTTTAAAAGCTACTAGCAAGAGAAACCAATTTTATTTATATCTCTTTGGCTGTTTCAGTGATAAACAGATGGCTTTAAAGCACAGCTTTCCCACGCAGCATCCTATCAACTTAAATGGCAAGAACCTTGCAGCTTGATTCTGTAGCTAGGGTCACATCATGTTCTCCTCCAGGCTCCCTGTGCTTCTTTATTCAGTAGAAGTATTCCTCTCTGTAAGTCTGTCTTCAGTTGTTACATTAGGCATCAGTAGCTTACAAACAGATACCTTACATGAACCATGGGCTTCTAATTCTTCTTTTGAGTAGCACAGAGCAAATGAAACCGAATGGATGCCCAATGTAATGTTATGAAACTGTAGGTAATAGATTGTTTCTAATAAGCAATGGAAGTCTCTGAAAACAGTGTTGTATTTTTATGAAATCGTGATATTAAGGCACAAACATTATACTTGCAGAAACTTGGTTTCAATGCTACTGAAAGAGGATGGAGACTTCAGGCAGAATGTAGGTATTGAGCTAAACTTGACTATGTTCATGTTTAATTATATTCAAAATATAATAGCCATATCCCTAATACAGGGGACTGAAAATAAGAATTCCAGCATGTTTGGAAGTCTTCTGTGGAAGCTGGAAAATATTCAAAAAAGATAAGTGTTGCCAATATCCTGTTTCTTTGTTTACAATAATATTGCTGTAGAAGTACATCTTGGATATATTGAAGTTCTCTGTGGTGGCAAAAGACAGGTAGGTTCACAGTGGCTGATCAAAAGTGAAGTTTGAACCATGTTTTTGATACAGGATTGTTGATGTGTTACCGTTGGCTTTAGTTGCATGTTTATGTGAGAGTATCAGCTCTTAAAATCAGTGATGATTTTAAAAGTGAATTTTGGTGTAATGGGAAATAAGGTTTTGTTTTTTTTTTTAAAAAAAAAGTAGCAACAACGTACCTTAAAAATGGGTTACAGATATATTTGTTTCATACATCACTATACTGATGATAAGGATCATCTGCATTGTGTTTGTTCATATTGCTTGTTTGATCATTTCAAATATGTGGGTATGATATAGTGTAACATCACCACTTCAGACCTCTAGAAGTTCTTTTGGAAAGAATTTCTCATCTCAACTTTATAATTTCCTTTTTAACGTGGTTCTTGCATAAATTCTGAAAGCAGACAAATACTTGCAACTGTGATCCTTTAAACAACATGAGAGCAGACTTCTAAATTTATAGGATAAAGTTAGGAAAACTGTCGAATTTACCAAAATAAACACTTTCTAAGTATCAGGCTACAATTTTCAAGGAACATATGATTCTCTGTGCTATCACTCTGTGTGCCAAACATGAAGATGCAAGGATGCAATGTCTTTATCCATTTCAAGTTAGATATCTGAACTTGGGCTTTATTTAGACAGATGCTGTTGCCATGAGTTGTACTGTTGCAATATTTGAAGAACTTTTTCTGAACAATACAAAGTGAATGATTCAGAAAGCTCTAGCCTCTTCTTAGAAATAAAAGCCTGCTACTTTCCACTTTAGTCAAGTTTTTAATTTTAGAATGTTTCAACATGCTGTAATTCAATTGGGAAAATTGTATTTTGGTTTAATACTGAAGTAGTGGCTAGACTGTACTTCTGTCATTAATTTGCTATTTGTTTCTGAAATCATCATGAAAGAAGTACTATTTAAGAAAAGGCCTTGTGATTCTAATTTTATTTTTATAACACTGTGAAGAGTAGAAGATTTGTTCTTGTTTGTGCTTGCATAAGCAACTAGAATGACTGCATGTGGTTAGTGGACTTTAAATAGCAACTCTAGAGTATAAAATGTTCAGTTTTCAATTGAAGTGTATGAACAGAAGCCAGGGCTTTTTAACCTTCTAGTCCCTAAAGTCTGCGTATAGAGCAAACTTAAAAACACTTTGAGGTTTGACTGTGTTTTTGCAGTGGAATAACAGTAGTTTATTAATTCTAAAACATGAAATTATGCATATCCATCTTAATGCATTATAATAATTAATTTAGTTGACATGATTTTTATGCAGTAACTTTTTTGACATTTCTAGAGTTTATCTTTAAAATTTATATACACTCCTATTATGTTATTTTATTAATCGTATTTAAAAAGGGACATTAGATATTGAATATTGTACCTCAATTTTATTGTAATGATTTTACTGGTTACCAGGTGGGGTGGCAGTTGAAAAATTTGGTGAATGCACTACGAGAGGATCCGAGTGGTGTTATCTTAACTTTGAAAAAGCGACCTCAGAGCATGCTTACCTCAGCACCAGCTTTACTGAAAAATATGAGATGGAAGCCCCTTGCTCTGCAGGTAATGAAGCTTAATCATAAGTCATACACCATCATTTTAGCTATAAACTATCTCAGTGATGCTTTATTGTGCTTCATCTCAGCAGCATATGGATTTACTCTTGTATGCTTTGAAAAATTGTTTCTGAAATGATTTCTCTGCAGTTTGTTCTCATAGGCTCAACTGAAGTTAAACCTGTTAGTAGAACTTGTCAAAGTTCAGAAGTAATCAGCACAGTGCTTTTCAAGGCAGAAAAGTAGTCCCAAAGACTTTTCTAGCCATAGGGAAGAAAGCATACTTAAGGAACTTATAGATTTTAGTTTATCGTAGTGTTAAGTTCTCCATACAGGACGACTTCAAAGAAAGAGATATGGAAGTGATCTTTAGTCCTCAGTTTGATCTGTCATGGAATTGTAGGAAAATACATGCAGTGATTTTCTTCAACAAAGCACATGACCAGCAAAATTTGCCCATACAAATAAATCTGCATGTTTGTCAGAGTGTTCCTTGTGAAGGAACCATTGCATACGGATTTAGTACAGGATGACCAGCTGGATCTTTATTTTTAGTAAGCCTACGATGTGCTGAAAACCATGGGATGGTTTCATTAAAGCGTTCGTGTTTCACTCCAGGATAAAATGTCAATGTGATGGATTTCTCTAGGAAATAAAAGTTATCTCCACTCTGATAAAAAGCACGTAACCAACAGATGGAACTGAAAAAGAATCCCTTTTTTTAAATTCAGTTCAGATAGGGCAATGTTTAGAATTTTATTTTCTTTGCATAATGAATGTATTCTTCAGTATGTTTTTATTGCCACAGTAAAAAGTCTAATTTAAAATTAAGTACATTTGAGAGAGAAAAGACTTCCACATAGTTCAAGAGAAAGGAAAATGAGATGTGGAAATGCCACTGCTAATGGCTGTGGTGTTTGCCATTTAAAATAATGGTAGATTCATAAAAAGAATTAATATCTCAAAGAACTTCTTTCAGCTATGTATTTTTATACATTTATTTGATCATGATTGAATACCTCATTGTCTGTCAAACTGACTAAGGTTATGAAGATTGGGATGTCTTGGTCATTCAGATATCAAGTACTGACAATATGTGTAACAAACTTTGAACCAAGAATATCACATGAGTGTCTAAACATAAAATTGCTGATCTGTATGCATAAGTGTGTATGAATGTCCATGCTTGAAGGCTCTGCTTTTTATCATAGTTTTAGTAAAAATATAAATACAAATGAAAAATGCATATTGTTGCTTCATTGCTTTAAATGAGATCAAATGCTTTCATTCTGTATCCCTTTTGGGTGAGTTAGTTTCAGTTTGTAAACTTCAGTTTATCATTTGCCTCTATAGTCATTCAACTGAAGATCACACAACAGAAGTTTATTAGACAAGCTATTGATCTTAGCAATTAGGCCATTAAATCAAAAGGGTGGGAAGAAATTGGACGGAAACCAATTTCCAGCAAACAAAGTCCAGTAAGAATGTGAGGATTCCTGCAGTCCTGTTACAGTGAAGGCAATCATGAGACAAAGTTGTGAGCGTGTTTGAAACTCCACACTCAGTTCTAGAAACAAAACTCCTTTAGTGTGTTCTATTTGGCTCTTATTTACATCTCGGCATCCTTAGTTCAGCGCAAATGCTGAGGTTTTATTCAACTTATTTAACTTTATAAAAGTTAAATAGAACACTGTTTCATTCATCTGTATGAATTTTAAATTGATCTATCTTAGTTGACAGCAAAATGAACCATACACATACTTCTTTCTCCATTTGGTGATAAAAAGAGTGCTGACAGCTAGATCAAATAAAGATTACCTCTGTTAGATAAGATGAAACTGAGTCTACATAGAGGTTTTCTGTAATGTTTTCAGGTTGAGTGAAAGATAGACACTTTTGTTCGTTATTGGCTTTTTTTTTTTTCTGATATCATAGAAAATCTGGGCTTATTTTCTGGGCTAATATGAATACAAATAGAGACACTGCTAAACATTAAAGAGATAATCCTAGTATCGTGACGCCATTCTGATAAACCAGGAAAAGGTCAGAACCTCATTCAGTACTTCTGTGTGCGGTGTACATGTGTGTCTGTTGTAATTTGTGATTTTTAGTGTGAGAAACAGCAGTTTTCCTAAGTAGATTATCAAAAAAAGCTCCAGGGTGACGTGAAGACAAACTTCAGAGGCTGCATACAGAGGAGATTTTTGTTGTTAATTTATGCAGATGAGAGGTGAGCAGATGTTAGAGTCTGTTGGAGTTAAAGTTTAAATGCAGCCTAAGTGTGAAATTGGTGCTGTATGCTTGATTAATAAAAAGCAGTAAAAAAAGAATACAATATAATTGATTGTATAGCTATTAAAATATGAGGTAGTGTTATAAAATTTGAGATAATAAATATAGCTAATAAAAATATGTTTTAATAGCTCCTATTTTTCTATTGCAGTATTTATTTATTATAAAAGACAGAAAATGTTAGGAAAAAGTATCTTCCAAAAAATCCTGTGTTCTGTGATTGAAGTAACATAGTGGCTGTTCCAAAATTACTTTTGTTCTAAATTCACATAATCATGTGCTTGGAAGTTAGTGAGAGAGGACAAAATAAAAATGATAGCAAACAGGAAAAAAGATAAAAGGAAGAGCAGTACTTCCATCTCCTTTGGAGACAGAGGAAAATATGATAATTTGTTTTCCTATATTAGGATATCATGAAATAATTGAGGATGTTATAACTGTGCTGTCATCTCAGAGCTAAGTTAATTGAACCCTATGTATAATTCAACGAACACAAGCTATAAAGACATTATGACTCAGTATAATAATTCTGTTAAAGTACAGAATGTGAGTGAAAGCCTCAAGAGACTTTAGAATAAGTTGGGGAGATGAAATTGTAATAAAATGTGGATTAGGATCTGGAAAAGTTTGCTGTGTTTTTTTCTTTGGCTCTGCAAATGAGGAGAACAGAGGAAAACGCGGTGTCACAACTTGCAATGTCTGAGTTGGAAAAGTATAAATTTGCCCCAGTGTAAGGGGGCTGACAAAAACAGAACTAAGAATTTGAATGCATGCCATCTGTGAGGATCTTTAATGGTTGTTAGAGCAAACGTAAATATTTCAGCTATTAAAATACGAAACACTGAGATTGAGAAACATTTGAAAGGTTTTAAAAATTAATTTTTGCTGAAAATGGATAGTGTTCAGCCATTGGTAAAATGCATTTTGCTTGTTTAGCTTATGATTCTATGTAGGAACATGAAGTTTGCCATTTGCAGCAGCATGAAAAGCTGAATTTCAGAGAGCCATAGGAAGTGTACCTATAAACTGGGAAAACGCTAGAGGAATCCTCCAGTTCAGGCGGTATTCTGGTGCTACCAGTATATCTTATCAATTTGGGGTGTGACTTGGTATGTCATCAAACTAGTATTCTGCCCATTCTGTGTAGCAGTTCTGGAACTTATTGCCAGTGGCTTGATGTAAAGGAAAACAGTACAACCAGCTATGGCTGTACTGTTAACCATAACAAGTGTGTACGTACAAGTGCATTAACTCACCAGTAGTGAAAAGAAAACATCCATTTTTTCCTCCTGCAGTGTCCTGATTAAATAAGGTGGTTTGGGTTTTTGCTTTCAGTCACTTGATGATTGTCTCTTTTAATATCTATCAGGTATACCACTTCTTGCAGTAATCAGAGTTCTCCCTTAACACACTTTGGAATCATGACAGAATGTTGGAAATCGAGGGATTTTCAGCCTATGTTGTTTTTTTCATTGCTTTTATAAAATCTGAATTAGACAGCTATGGCCTTGGAGAATTGTTTTTTTGTTTGTTTGTTTGTTTTTTGTGGGGTTTTTTTGCCTTTGCAATGAAGGTATTCATTAATATGGTATTGTACTACAAATATTAAGATGTTATGCCTGCAACATAAGACCTACTAAATTTGCCTTTCAGTTACTTCCTCTGGTACACTGGTATTTCAGATTGCAATGTTAGTACTTCTGACTGTTACTGAATACGCTCAACAAAAAAACCAAGTTCCATTTTTTTTTTTTTTTTTTCTCTCATTCAAGATAGAGATGATTTAATTATCTTGGAACTTTCCATATTTTTGTCTGTCCCCGGAGCAATCAGCTGGCAGTTCAAAACATAATATAAATAAACATCTTTTACTCTAGATCGTCTCTTTCATTTCTTCTTCCCACTTTGAGTTTTTCTTGGGAGGTTTCAAAGGAAGGCTCTCTGAACTGCAGTTTGAACAAGGGGGAAGGTTCAGTAAAGAAGAATCTTAGATTCTCTAAGTTGGTATCACCATGATAGCAAGAATCTAACTGCAAAGCCATCTTTTACTTCTGGAAAATGCTTTGTAATTATTCAAAAGAAACCAGACTTTGACTATGGTGTGAAGATGTTTCATGCAGTGTCTTGAAAAGGAATGGTCACACTTCAGCTAATTTGGATGAAGCGCTGCCAGTTTCACTGATGTCAGTGAGGCGGGGGGCAGGTCCACTGCCATCTTGTGTCTTGACTTGGAAAAAACCTTTTGACTTCACTATTCTGCCACAGTCTTAATCAAACTTATTTAAATGTCACATTTTGTATATTTAAAATAGTTCACTGTACTGTTATATACGTGATTAAATTTTACTGTTAAGAATTGCCACAACCTCAGCATCTGTATTATTTTAAAATAATCTTTATTTTCAATTAGATACACATCTCTACTATGCTATCTTCAACATTTCAGCCTCCTGAGAAGCAACAGTAACTGCAGAGTGCTTGAACTGAGAGAAAATCCTACCTTTATTATTATTTAGTATTTTTCCTCATTATATTGCTCTCTTCATTCAACTATAGGCAATGTTATGTTCTGTTTGAATCATATACGATTAGCATTAATGACTTTAGACTTTTTAATCATTAAATTTGAATAAAATGCTAAACTGTTGGCTCTTCAGTTGCTTAGCTGTCTCTTAACTACATGGAAACTTAGCACTTTTTGCAATATTGTTAAAATTAATTTGGACTGGGTTTTTCTACAGAGTTTGAATTGGTTACAGAATTTCATTACTTCATGTCATGTTCATCTTATAAAAGTTTGTTATTGGAAACATTTTGTTCAGTAAATCATAATATCTTGGTCCAATATGAAAACATATATTAACAGTAAAATCTGTTTACTGCTGCAAATACTGTGTAAAGATATTACCACTTAAAATATTGTTTTGGTTTTGTTTATACTTTAAAAATTGTGTGCCTTTATATGGAGCAATGTTTCTCAAACTGTATATTGCAACTACCAAGGGAGTTAATGAAAGGTTCAAAGAGTTTTAAAAAGCATTAAAAAGAATTTTAGATGGTATATATTAATTATTAATTACGTTCATTGTTTAGAGGAAAAAGAAGCCAATAAAAGAGAAAAAGCTGACAATCTCAGTTTGGGAATGGGAAAGCAATGCTAGCTTCTCATACCAAGATGGAGAGAAGGGGACCACAGGACTGACCTAACCAGAATAGGGCAGTCAGTATTTATGCAGTATCACTCAGTAATTATAGAGACTTTTTACTTATTTCTCTCTCATAGAAGAACTTTGCTGTTGTAAGTAAAGTTGTTTTTCTATTTTCTGGACAGCTGTCAATTTGGTAGAGGATCCATGATGACTAATAATTTTGAACGAGGATGGTGCATCCAGAATGTTTGAGAAACAATACTCCAAAGTGTAATGAAACATGCATATTGTTTTGGTCATTGGGGATTAACACTGTAGGGCTTTATGCGGGATATTTTTGAGGATATTCCAGTTCTAATATTATAACTTCTAAACTTTCTCCGTCAGGTTATTCCCATGAGTTAAGTATTTAAATCTGTGGTCCTGAAAACATTTTAGTTTTATTGCTGTTTCAGGATTCCCACTTGCCTAGCCAGCCTGCCAAAAGTGACTGCAGCAGAGGAAGTTCTAGTCTTTGAAAGAGAGTTGACTCAGTGATAATACTTATCTCCAAATCAGACATACTGGAATTGGAGTTCTATGATGTTCAGTGTGCCTACATGGCATAATATAGTCCACTAAATGACTGCCATTGACATATGGGATAGATGCGATCTGATTTTCTTGTGGATGCACAGATTGACTTAAACTAAATGATTGGTGAGAATTGCAATGCAAAATGACTCAAGGGTGCACCTTACGTGTACCCTGAAGGTTCTGAAGGCTCCCTTTTCAATAAGGAGGGCCTGAGGCTTTTAATTCCGTATTAAATGAAAGCTGAACTCCTAGATCCACGAGGTGGTAACTACTGCAGTGTTCTTGGTGTGTTGAGCTGCTGTCAGGGGAGCACATCTGAATGTTTTCACCACGTTGCATTTCTTTTAAAAGAATTCACTGATTTATTAGGTTAAGTGATGGTTTAAAAAAAAAAAAAAAAAAAGTGATGGCCTGTTTTTAAATTTAGTTTTCTCCTTTTGTTCCAGTCTTTCTGGAACAAAGCTTTTCTGCTTTTGTAGAAATAATCCAAAGAATTGAATTTGGCAGTGTGACTTAGATATGTAAAAGACGTGAAATACCCTAGTGTGTTTTGGAGTGATCCTAAAAGATTATGCTTTCTCTCGTACTAGATTTTATTACAGCTCCTCTTGGGAGCTTCTGGGCCCTGGGAAGATTTACCTCTATTGCAATTACATGAGATACCACAGTCATTAGGGCTTCTACCAGCTACACTGTAATTCTCATTCCAGAAAACATGTCAGTATTTAACATAGGAACAGTTTGAGGGAAACTTTCTACCTTTAGAGCTCTATTTTTTTCTTGGTATTCTAATCACCTCACTTAGCCAAAAGATGAGCCAAATTTTGCATTTCTCAAAAACACGCAACTTCCATTGATTTACAGTCTCCCAGCAAACTATTCTGGAGGGCAAGCCAGCCAATATAGCTGGGCTGTGCACTCTCAAGATCTTGTGATGTTATATGGTGGAATATTCAGGTTTCAGCAAAACTTTAGTCCAGAAATGAAACACATCTCATTAACATTTAAATAGCTAAGCCCACGTAATTCTGGGGAATTCGTTACCTGTGTCTTGCAGCCCCCCAGCAGCTGCTCAGAATGGGTGTGGGCTAATCAATCCATTGTAAGCCCAGACCACAGTTATACCCAGGCATGAATTTCCTTGTGACAGAAAGCACAAATTCCTATTAATTATTGCTGTTAAAAAGCTGCCTTCCTCTTCAGTGCGGAGAGAAGCAAATCCTCTCTCAGTGCTCCTGTCAGTATGAGCTATAAACAGCAATGTTTTGGGCCTAAGAAGTGTAAACATGATCCTGGTAACAAAATTCTCTTGGCTTAGGAAAAAATAATTCTACAAACTGCTCAACAATCTGCAGTGTGTACTTACCATAATAATGCAAGGCATTGGAAAGGGAAAATAAAGGCTTTAGTAAGTGGTTCAAGAACATCTGTGGCTACTGTGTCACAGATGAAAATTTAAACAATAAGGTTTTTGTTCTTCTGAAGGAGTTCTCCTTGTTTGTTTTGTTGGTTTTTTCCTTCCTCCCCCAGTTTTGCCACCACCTTCAGTCTTATTTTTGTAGATTTCAGTCTTCTGCTTGTTTTTATTGGTTGTAAAGTCTTTTACCTGTCTGGTTTTGTGTTTGTGTCTTTCTCCCTTTCTTCCTGTAAGTACTGGCTGTCTTTCACTGGTGTGTTTACAGAATACTCATATTAACTCTATTGAGCAACAAAAGAATTTAGCAGTATCATTGTTTATAGGAGAAAGATTTCTACACTCAGCAAGAGAATATTTGTTTCACTTTATAGACATCATTCTAAAAGTAGATGTAATAAGTTTTAATGATACATTTTTTAACATGAAGTTTATTATATTTGAGATAAATCTAACACAGCTCTGCTGCAAAACAAAACAAAACAAAAAACACACAACAGAATCCAGTTAAAAGACGTCTGAGGTTTCCTAAGTGGCATGTGTTCTTCTTAAAATACAGTTTGTAAAAAAAAAAAAAAAAAAAGATGCAATGGAGAATACTTGCTTGATGAACATAAATTTACAAGGGCTCATTGCTATCGTGTGAAAGGACCGTGCTTTGAAAAAGTTCATGCTCTTGAGATTTTTTTGCAGTATAGGTACCAAGGTTAATATCTAGAAAATATAAACTGGTAATTCTCTCAGTGCTTTCTCTGTCATACTCTGTTCTTCATAGTGCTGGCAGAAGGATCTTTCTGCACACCCATTTGGTCAGTGCTTAGAGCTACTCTGTCATAAATACAGTATGAAATATTTGTGTTCTCCAGCAGTTCCTAAGTTCAGAAATTATAGGTGTAGTGTACACTGTGTCTTCCCAAAACCTTTTTCTTCAGAGACTTCACTTCCGAAAAGATGCAGGAGAATGTACTCTTACAAAACAAAACTCAGTATTTAAATTTTAGGGTGCAAGCAGACAGTACTTCACTTGCATTTTCTTCTGCTTAAGTTCATCTATCAAACAAGCCAAGAAGCGTTAGGCAGACATTGTTAATTAGACTACAGCAGTCTACGTTTGCTTCTCATTTTGTTTTTATGTATTTGCATCTGTATAGAGAGTGCTAGGAAATCGTGCTACAATTTCCAGTCCTACAGTGATTTAATAAATTCTTCAAATGGATAATCGTTATTTAGCTAGTCAAGATAGTTGAGTTGAAGGAGAAAATCATGCTTAATTTGAGAAAGAGGTAAAGATGTGATTAAGAAGAAGGGGCATGTTTGAATGAGAAAGATAGCTAGGACGCATTATTATTCTGCAAGAAGGGTACAGATTTTTTTTGGTTTTGTTTGTGTTCTTTTGGGGTTTTTTTTACCTGTGATTTACTTTGTGACGAGTTTACCTAGGAAAATGAAGGATAATAATAATTTCCAGTTTATTCAGTATCATAGCACATGTGCTCTTGAGGATGCTGTACCTGACTTTACGGCACCTGCAGACAAAAACTGAATCTTTTATAGCTAATTCTTAAGCTGTAGAACAGATGGGGAGAGACGACATTCAATTTAATGCCTACTTATGAACATTTACTGTAAACACTAGACTTTTTCTTTATAATGTTAGTTAAATTAAGCAATTCACTGTATTCTATATGCTATTTACTCATGAAGATTTCACTAGTGGCTCTACTAATTACTATTTTTATGAGCATTGGCAATAATCTTGCTGTGCAAAGGGGAAAAAAGTAAGATATGATCAGATGAGTCAATTTTATAAGCACAATACGTGTCCATTCATAGATCCACATCCCTAAACAGAAGTGTTATTTTTTTCATTTTAAAATCATGTAAAAGATTAGAAGTGCTATTTCTTTAACTTTCTGAGCTGTAGAGATTTTTTTTTAGCTATTTCAGTTACAAGTAAATTATATTTAAGGATAACTGTGATTTTTTTTTTCTCTCTTTCCTTTGAACCAGCCTCTTATTCCCAGAAGTCCTACAAGCAGTGTTGCTACACCATCCAGCACTATCAGCACACCTACAAAAAGAGACAGCTCTGCACTACAGGATCTTTATATACCACCTCCTCCAACAGAACCTTACGTTCCCAGGTAAAAGTGTTCAGTACTCTAATTCAATACTCTGTTCTCTCAAATGTAGAATAGTCTATGCCTATTACACTGTTGTCCTACTTCAAAAGAGAAAAATTATCCAAACCCCTATATATGTAACTATGAAAAGAGTTTATTCCGTTGCCTAAGAGCTATGATGCAACAATGGAGGCTGTGCTAAAAGCAAGAAACTTTGCAGCTTTGACAATGAGAGCGCTGTTTTGTTTTGCTTTACTAATTTCCTTTTTGAACATATTTCATTAGTGTATGAGCAGTTCTCAGGATTACATCTTAGTGTGGGATTCATTGACCTACCTTCACACGTTCCTAAATGATTCAGTAAAATTTCTTAATACACATGGATGTTGCTTTCTTAAAATTCTGAGAGAATTGCAGCTGTATCCATAAGGACGGCAATAACCAGCCGGAAGCCTAAAGATGTATTTACAAGTGACCAGCATTTTTAATGCTTCTGTATCAGATGTGGAACGTCCACTCAATGTATTTTTAAATTACTTTTTGCTGTTCTTTTAGTTTACTTTCTTACAAACCTGTTAAGGGCACCACGTCCTTTCTTGTATCTGAATTTCCTGTACCTGGGTTTTCTGGTACCTGAGTTTTTCTTAGACTCTACTACCAGTAACTCTTCTAGCCAATTAATAAGATTTGTGACCTGATGCTGACAAGAATTTCCTGGGGGCTGTCCAAGAGTGAGGTAGATGGCAAATTAAATTGCCTCGTGGGGAGGAGAAATCATGATTCTGTGATTAATTCTTACTCTTCAGAGAGATGAAAAAACCTTCCAGGGCAAGAAAGTGACTTTCTATTTCATGATTTAGATGATACCACGGGCCTTTCTTAAAGCCATAAGCTGAGTCTTGTTTTCCTTCCTCATCCCTACTTTATATGCTGCTTGGTCTGGTTTTATTTCTGGGGAGATTAAAAAAAAATACTGCAGAAAGAAACCCCAACCAAAACACAGTCTTTGTTCACTTTTTGAATGTATAGTTACATGGCAAAGACCTGCCACTCTTGCAGCTGAAACTGTACTCTCCTGAAAGAAATAATGCCTTTGTACTGGTGCTAATCATATTTCCTACCTCAGAAATATTTCTGTTATTTAATAAGGAACACATCCTCTTCCTTGAAGTATTTTTGTTAGATATTCGTATTTCAGCAGTCTTTAAGTTCAACTCTAGAAACTGGTATCTTCAGAATGCATTTTGGCTATTTATTAATACCATCAAATAATGCTTATTAATGCACAAGTTTGGGCCAATTCTGATGAAATATGATAACACATATTAACACAAGATTCTTTAAGCTACACATTTTTTATTTTGCCAGAGAAATCCTAATGAACTGTAGTTCGTTTCACAAAGCTGCCACATACAGTACAGTGTTCCTGAATGATCTGTTTTGACATTTCATCAGGTTTTTTTGGTCTATGATTAACTATATTTAAGCATGTCTTTATTTTGGGTATTATCAAAATGTTCAGAATCTGTTTCTTAGTTTGTTGTTGCTGTTCCAAGGGGGAACTTTAAAAAGTAAAATGCCCACCATTTGTTCCTGGAATAGAATAAAAGATTCGACATTTTGATGTAACTTGTAAAACCCCAAACCCTGCTGTCCTAGTGGTGACACCCACAGATGCTACAGCTTCCAGCACAACCACACACAAATAGCAGGACCCATCCTTTTCTTGTGATGGTTACTGACAATTGCAGGTAGCAAATTAGTGCTTGGTCAAGTCTGTTGAATGCCTTTGGAAGATACATCAGTCTCCATTGCTTTCCTGCCAGTGTCCCCTGCCACTGTCACAGCAACAAGCTTTCAGCCCCGTGGAGCTGTGCCTTTCCCCCTCACCAGCACCATCTCTGCTCTGGGAAAGCCTGGCAGAGCAGGTAAAATGGATGGAGAGGTTTTCTGTAGTTTTAGTGCCATGGCCGATTCAGGATGGCTCTTTCTTTTCCACCATGGCTGCTTGGCTTTGCTTTGTACTCATACAAGGTTACAGGGCACAAAGAGAAGAATGGGTCAGCTTTGTATTTACATGGTCTAGAGGGGCAGAAACTCTACAGTGAGGACATGAGGCCACAGCTACTCTCTTGGCAGCCTCCCATGCATTTTGCTGCTCAGAAATTACTGTCAATCAGGTCTTTTGCAGCCATCTCCAGGCACAGCCATACCAGCAGTTTTTCAGAGTCCTTCTTTACCTAGTGCAAGGAGAGGGCAATCTGCTTGGGGTTCTCTGTGTAGGTTGTGCAGCGTGCTGCTTGCAATAAATTTCTGTCCTGGGACAGCAGCTCATGACAAAGTGTTATGCATTCTTTTTGTTACTGCACAGGTATATCTATAACATCTTGGAAGCCCAAATTGGCTACTACAGAACTCTGTCAAATGCTTGTAGGCTCTTCTTGCTGAGAGGTTAATTTGTAAGAAACTAGACAGAATTTATCCACACTTACCATACGGCCATGTCTTAAAACTATTTGATTCAAAAATTGATTCAAAAACCTGTTTGATTTGGAAGTGCACATTTGAAAGTCAACATTATTTCCTTGCCCTAAGTTAGTAAGTGCTAATATATTCCAAAAAAAATCATAAAAAGAATAGCTGCACATCAACTTTATTTGTATGATTCTTTTCTAAAGAAACCATTAAAATACAATCTGCAGTGGAAGCAAATGAGCAAAGATGTGAGATAACTAGCGTATACATACATACGAATACATAATATGTGATCCTGATTTTAGCCAGTTGTATGTATTTGCTGCTTGTGTGGCATGCTGATATTTTGCCATTTTTAATTAAATATTCACGTTTTAAAAAATGAATGTCTTATTTAAATATATTATATAATATATAATAAATATATCTTTTATTTACTGAAGGGATGAAAAAGGAAATCTCCCATGTGATGATGTTGGCAGACATACAGTGGGCAAACCAGTTCATACAGGATCCGAATCTCCAAACTCATTTCTTGACCAGGAGTATCGAAAGCGTTTTAATGTGGTTGAGGAAGATGCAGTGTTATACTGCTATGAGTATGACAAGGGAAGAACAAGTGGTCCTGGAAGGAGAGAGAGCACACCAACGTATGGTATGGCATTTTGATCTGACATTATCACAGTTTGTTGATTTTAGGATTTTTCGTACATCTGCTCTTGTATTTAAGCACAAAAATAATTCCAGTCGCTATTGAATGTGCTGAGAATTTTGTACAGATTTAGTTTAATTTCTACATAAAAGCTTATTCTGTGCAAGCATATATGTATTACTATTATAAGGATGGCAAATCCAGTTTTGTTTGGTGATTTTTCTGAATCTGCGTTCTATAATTTTATCAGCTTAATTTTCCAGGTAACTTTTCAGTATCCTTTTGTCAGAAAAACTGGCAGAAGGCCATGCATTTATGCTAAACCCTCTCTATGAAATCATGTTCCCAGTGTAAGTGTAGGAGTAGCTAAATAGGAATTGCTAGGCCTGAATCAGTGATTGAGTACCAAGTGAGAATGCACGGCTAACCAAGGGCACATTGGTGCAAGCAGTGCACCCGGGCAACTGGAAGAGGTGGACCCTGGGTGCATTCCTCCTCACTCTCATTTAAGGGTTAGCAGCCAAAGAAGCAGGATCTCTATTCAGAGATCACCCCTTCTGGGGACTTCACTGACCTTCAGAAATGGTAAGCCACTTGACCTTGTATCTTCTTCTGAACTATATCTTGACAAATGCCTTTACAAGTGTGTTCAAATTGTGGTAGAAGGCAATATAATCACCTTCCCTTGCTCCACAGTAGCATAGGTATAGTAATTCTGCATTAGAAAAAATTTACCAAAGTAATTTTAAAGATCAAAACTTTTTCAGATGAACAAGAAGATGGTATTCTGTTTTCATGCTGTACTATGTTCTAAAACTCTCTTATTCTTCTCTAGTTTCAGAAATGAAAAATGACTGATAGTATGCTTTTTTGTAATGCTGTTTTAACATTCTCTAACTTTTTATATGAGAAATGATGACTTGCTATATATAGCAGTCCCTATTTTATAAGTCTGTGTGTTGTCCATGTAAGAATTTCGTATGTAAATGCACATGCATGTTCATGGTACTTACATGTCTTGGATTTTCACTTATTTATGGTGAGAACACTGAAACAATTTCTGATGAGAGTTTTGCTCCTCAAAGCTTTGTTCTCCAGATTATTTTCATTTTGGATCTATTGGAATACGGCCTTTACCTAGCATTTTATTTGGGCTTTGGACTAGGAAAATTGGTTTCCTGTTGCTATACAAGGAATTGTTCAGTGATAGAGTTGTTAGTACATGGGAGAAAATTAAGAGGAAATTTTGTTTTTATAAAAGTTATTTTGACAGTCCTTGTAATAGCTCAACACATGCTTGAATGTTTTTTCACCCCATTTGCTGTTATTTCAATTATTAAACTGAGCATAGGCTGCATCTTGGAGTTGTTATTGCAATCCTGACATCATATCCCTTTGAGAAGATGACAGGCTTAATCTATGAGGAAGAATATATTTGGTACATCATGCAGCCAAGATCCAAAATCACCTGGGAACCATGATACAAATCGAGCTTGAGCTGTGTAAAGTATCCTCGGGACTTTAAGCAATGTGCTTGCATTGTGCTTGCACAATATTAAAGGATGTGTTTTTATAAAGTGCACTTGTTCCACACAGCCACACAATGCTCCTGCAAAATCCTCAGTATCCTTTTGATTTTGAAGTGCTTTCAGATGTTTTTTAACCATGCCTATATTGTATGAAATAAATGATAAGTGTTCAAAGTTGATATATTAATTTTATTGCTCCTGTATTTCAGTTGGTGGATGTAGTCAGTTCCATTAACAGAGATGTACTCTCTGTTCCAGATGTTAAATTTTAATACTAGTATTCTAGAGGGAGGACGACACTTTGTTCAAGGACTGCTGAATCCATTAATTTATTACAGGGTAGCTTTTGTAGCATATTTTCCTATTAGCTGAAAGGGTTATAAATACATGGATCTAAGACCACTGAAAATCACTTTTTTAACACACTTCTTATACAACATTTCACTTTTAATCTGACTTCTTTTTTAATGAATTCACATCACAGAGTCTGTTCTCACTTAAGTATATTTTCTAAAATTATTACCATTCCAGCATTAAATTCACAAGTTTCGCACATGCCATTTGTTAACATCAGATTGGCGGCTAGGCATAACCTAAGGATTTCACAAAAATCTAGTAAATAACATCCCTCTGGCTTACAGTAGCCTCTTAAAGAAGGTCAAACAGAGTTCTGAGAAATAGAGAAATAGTTGTTTTCAACGTATACTCATCATTAATTATATGGTGGCATTAATTTTCTTTAATACTTTTCAGTCCTCCTTTGTGAGAGTTAACAGGGTTTCCTCCATGATTTCTCTTTGAGGAGTCTGTTGGCTTCTTTCAACTGTTAACAAAGAAACTTCTCTTTCGTATTCTTACTGGCTTACAACTGTTGTATAATTGCTACTAGTTGGCCTTGAAATGCTTCAGTTTGCATCCCAGCAATGAAATTTTCCTGAGTGTAGTCAATAGGCAAAAGAGGTTCAGGGGCTTCACATGGGCTAACGTGAAAGAGATAGTAGCAGCAGCAGACAAATGAAGATCAAGTTTAAGGAAAGAAACAAATTTGTTCATTGCAGTTTGGCTGCCAGACAGAAAAAGAGTGTAGATAAATTCAACAGCTAGAGATATTATGGAAAAATTGGTATGACTATAGCTTCTGATAACAATCACAATTTACATGATTTTCTACTTATTGCAGCTTTTTGATTTTGTAAGTGCTTGCCATAGCATCCTGTGAATTTATTCTAACATAGAAGATAAGGTCGTATTTCTAGAAAAAGTGACCAACATCTTTCTTATCAAGGATAATACATGTGCACTCATGAAACGACTTCTAAATGGTGTACTTCAAATCTCAATGACTTCAAACACACTTAATGATGTGCCCATAACTAATAAACTAATTGATAAATAGGGAATTAAGCATAAGCATTTTGTATTCTCAGTAATTATGTATTTGTGAATTGATCTTGTTGTCTATAGAGAACATACTCATTTTTTTGCCATGTTCATTACAATATCTTAAAAATTTTAAAGGCAAAAACAACAAAACACAAAAACAGCATATCATTATGCTGCACGTGCATGGTAGTGGTGAGCTTCCCATGGATGCCATTATTCATTAAGTAGACACATTTGAATATTTGTTTTCATCGTAATCAAGTATCTTCTTTTTCACTGTATCATGGATTTAACATCAAAAAAGCAGAATGAAAATGATGACCTTTATGTCGGGAGTTTTCCAATATGTAGCTAAAAAAACTTCTAATTTTTTAATTTTAAGCTCTAATACTTTTCAAAACAAAATATTTTCCCTTTATTTTCTGTTAGCAGTAGATAAGAGCAAAGACTTATCTTGTTTCTGAAAAAAAAATCAGTGAGATGGACATTGTGCCATTTGCCATGCCACTTTACATGGTATTTTTTTTGCTTCTGCAGGCGACCTAACTTGCTAAAAACTGTAGCTCACTTTAAGTAATCCCACTAAGTTGCATTGCACACTTTCACTGAATTTCCAGCTGTATTTGTGGAAATCTTAAGCAGAAATCATAGTTGACATCTTTTAAACATCCCAGCAAAAATGCTATTTGTAAAGGTATCTTAGTGATGTGAATGTGATTCTCTTACCAACAATTCATTCTGTATATGCTTTAAAACAGTTTTCTATATGTGCGTGCCAGGGGCTTTCAGAATAACAAACAGATATTGTTAATGAAAAGCAAACTACGTAATTTCAGTGTGTTTCTCAGTCTCAGGCATCAGTTTGGTGAGGATTTTGTAGGGCACTGGATTTATTTTCTAAAGTTAAAAAAAAGAAATCCATTAAATACTTTTAACTGCTTCTTCCCTGTTAAAGAAAACAGAACTTAATCTCTGGTTCAGAGGCTATGCTGGATCCTCTTTCATAAGCAATGCTGTAGAATAGCGGCTTAACACTTAATTTCTTTTTTTCTTTCAAGAATGTTACTTAAATATTGCCTTTTGGTGCATGATCTCATTTTTTTTCCCTCTGTTTCTAGGGAAACTAAGGCCTATTTCTATGCCAGTAGAATATAACTGGGTCGGGGATTATGAAGATCCCAGTAAAATCAAACGAGATAGTAGGAGAGGTAAGTGATCTGGTCATGTCTTGTACAAGGCATTATGGGTTTTATCATGCTTCAAGCAATGCCACAGGAGGTATGAATACCAAATGTATACATGAATATAAGGAAAGATCAGACACACTCATGACAGAATCACAGAATCACAGAATTGTAGGCGTTGGAAGGGACCTCCAGAGATCATCGAGTCCAATCCCCCAGCCAAAGCAGGTTCCCTACACCAGGTGTAGAGGCAGACATGTAAAGACATGTCTGAGTTTTCCTAAATTCGTAACCATTGGTTCTACCTTGGGAGATCCCTCAGATAAAAGCTGGTAGCTACGGGGATAATTTCAAAGGAAAGTACGGATGATACAGTGAACAAGCTTGGGCTGAACATTCGAAGCAGGTTACTTGTAAATGTATGAGCCCACAGTCAATTGTATTAATTTAGGATATGTTTTTTAAAAAAAGATTATAGATACGATTATAAGTGTGCCACTGCTGATTTTTTGAAAGCTTCAAGACAACATCAGCATTTGCTTATGTGAATATTCATGTAAGTTTTCTTTTCATTGTCAGCAAAACTAGAAACCTGAAAAAATAATGAATTTCCCCTTCAGATCAAGATTCAATATCTTCTTGCTATATCCACCAAAGAAGCAAATAAGTTTTGCTAATGAAGAAGTCTTGAAGTCTTAAAATTGACAGCAGATCTTCTTGAGAATATTGTATATACCTAAAAAAAATCATAATTGTGCTTTGCATTACTCTTTCAACAGAAAATTCATTGCTACGCTATATGAGCAATGAGAAAATAGGCCAAGAAGACTACATGTTTCAAAGGAATAGCAAAAAGGATACCGGAAAAAAGTCAAAAAAGAAAGGAGACAAGGGTAATAGTCCTAGTCATTACTCGTTGTTACCTAGTTTACAAATGGATTCATTGAGACAAGATGTCATTGGCACACCTGGACCAGAGACCACTTTGTACCATGTGAGTAAAAATAATTTTAAAGGAACCTTTTGCTCTATGCTTGCTATGAGAGACTGTCATGTTTTTGTAGAGGTGTTGAAGACTTTTTTTGACTGGTAATCTTGCAGTTCTGGCCTTGTTTCCTGACCTTCTGATAATAATTTGTTTAAAGCATGCTATTTAGAATCTTCCCGTTAGAAATGCAGAACAGACACCTATAACACTGTAACCAGAAGATCTTATGTTTGAAATGTAGTCTGGTATCTCTGTCTTGACTTATTTTGCTACTGATGGAAAGGAAAGAAGCAGTTTGACTGAATGTATTTCAACACAGTATGCCAAGTCACATTAGATAACTCCTTTACTATAGCTATTGGAAAGGCCTGTTAATGGCAGGAAAACTTGTTGTGGAGGTATTTGTTTTTCCGTTGAGGTGGGGAATGCCCTGTTGCATACTGATTACATGTTGTATGCGTAGCTGTTTTTAATACAGATAGAATAATAGATTTCAGTAACTTGAAAGTCAATTGGAAAGGAAAGAGTCTTCTGAAGTCTTCTGAAGGGAATGTAAAATGAGAATTCCAGTAACTTCCTAGTTTTCAAATGTGTCTAGAAAATGTAGGTTGACAGTCACAACATATTTTAGATATGGTGTTCAACCTCATGAAATCATTTACGTTTTAGACCTGTCGTCATAGAGTAATACACACACAGTTATACAGCAAAACAATAGAAATAATTGTAGTTACCTTCATAAACTAGCACAGAGAATGTGATTTAGATTGCCAGTGTTTAAGGGTAGCAGCACTGTGGGGGGCTTACCAAGAACTTTGCTTTGAAAAACTAACAGCTAGATTTCCATTGAACATGTAAGATCCAGGTAACTCTTGTCTTAGAAGCATTATAAAACACTGCTACAAATTGTTGTGTAATAATTGGTGTGGATTAATTTAAAATAGAGTTTTTAAATTCCTTAAAACTTTTTGAATGGTGGGCCCACTGGGTTCCAAAACTGCTTTTTGCACTACATGTATAGGTGAGTGATAAATTTCAGAAATTATGTCATTATGTCATTAATTATTACACTGTACTTCAATTGACTCAGGTACCCAGATGTGAAAAGGTTGTTGCTTTTCTTTCTTTTTTTTTTTTTTTTTTTTTTTTTTCTTTTTTTAATAATTAAGGCACGATGTTAAGTTTTTTTCTTATGTTATTTTCAACCATTTTACAATTATAGCAAGTTGGAAATCTGATTGTGTAGAGATGGCAATTTGCAAAGGCAAACTGATGTATAGGTGCATAATGCAAGAGGCAGAGGAGTTTTTGAGTAACTGTCTGTCCTCTTTGCAATGTATACAGTCTTTTTTATAAAAAAAAGCCTAATCAGTCCGTGAGACCTTGAAATCAAATATTTACAGAAGAAAATTGAAAAGTTATTTGTGTAACAGAGGCGTTCTATTCTGTAAAGAACAGTATGGTAAATTAGAAATACTCTTCATGTTTTGAGAGAATATTCATCTCTCAGTGGCATTTCTTTGTTAGTAATTATTGAATTTCTTGTATACAATGAAACATTTCTAATGTCATTTTCACTTTCCCTTGGCTGCCTCTATTATCTATTATCTGTTTCCAAAATCTGTATGAATAAACAATATAAACAGATACTAGAAAACTCTTCAAAATTCTTGTGTGAAGGTTACTGAGGAATAGCAACCAGGACTGACTACCAGCATTCTTCATGCAGGTTGGACACTCATCTGCAAAATGCACCTTAACTGTTAACGCCTCAGTTTCCACCACCATCTGATGATCCTTTTTGTGGATCATTACCACAAATGTGTATCTTCGTAATGCTATTAAATCTTCTTTTTGCTTCTTTTCTATTTTTGCTTCTTTGCTATTAAAGCTTCTTTTTGCAAGTTTGGTGGGAATCCATTTACTTATAAACATAAATAAAGGTTATTTGTTCTTTAGAATGCAAATCAGCATTGATCTGCTCACTGGTTTTGGAGCGGAATGTGTGAAGTTGGAACAGTAATAGGAAGCTTGGGACACTGATTTGTTCACAGGACAAATGGAAGGAGCCCTTCACAAAGCATTCACAACCTTATAGTGCCCTATCACAGGAAGCATCCTGGCTGCCATCATGCAATGCAATACAGTTCCCTGTTTATGGTGGTGCCACCTATGCATATGGGCTTAGAAAATCCTAATTTAGATTGCAGAAAGGTCTGTGTTTCTTTGCCACATAGAAGAACATATTTACACTCTGGTCTGAAATAAGGAAGCGTACAAGGGTTTGGTAATATCAGTTACCTAGTTTTCATAAAGTTTTTGCATTATCTGGAAATGGGAGTCTCTGGATGAGCACGAGTTCAGTGCAAGAGGAATGGTGATAACTCCAGAAACTGTACTAATAGTAGTAAAATGTACTGTTGTTTTTTACATTTGCTTTGGTTTGGATTTTTTGTTTTGTTTGTTTTTAAGAAACAGATGTTTTCATCATACTAGAATTTCAGGTGAAGAGAGAGTACTTTGACTCCCTGGGGTGCAAACCACAAGCCAGTGGTCTTTCCTGACAGGTATCTGTAGATGAACATATCTCCTCAGATCCAGAAATAAAAATATACTTCACCAATCCCTGGTTGTTCTTTATGTTAAAAGGTTTCATCTATTAGCCTGTGTTCAAGTTCTGCTTCCAACATTAGATATCATTGTACCTTTGTCCTCTAGGTTTAAAGGTCTTTTGTTACCAAGTTTTATCTCCCAGTTAGAAACTGTCAGGTTATAATCAAATCCCTTTGTATCCTAATTTTGCTTGAAAGGAATAAACGTCCATTCAGGGTTTGTTATTAGAAAGGGTGTTTTCACACATCCTTTTGTCATTCTCATGATTCTTTCAACTCCTCATTTTTCATCTCAAAGTACACTAAATGTTCATCCTCAAGTCTGTACGCAAGAACAGGACATAAAAATCCAGGACTGAGCTACAGGAAAGGAAAGTGACTTTTCTATTCCCATTCACTACTTCTCTGTTTAAATATTAAAAGGTGTTTACTGATTTTAGCCATAGTCTTGGCATGGAAAACTTTACTGCCTGGTATTCCCAGTCCAGTGAGTTATATCTGGTATTCCTTGTTCTTGTATGCTTGGCCATGTTGAGACATAGAACTTCTTGGGTGTTCTTTTTGAATAATCTGTGACTCTAAAACAGCCCCAAATATGAAGTGCCAGAGAGTAAGGTCTCTGGATGTTCAGGTAGGTCCTTGTGATTCCCCACTCTGCATTATGGAATACTGAAGCTAATAGAAGACTGCGATCTGCTGTGGAATGAAACTTCTGAAACATTTGATTTGAGATGATGCAATTTCTGTGTAAAATTAAAAACACACAGTAACTCTTTCTATCTTTTCTCTTTTTTTCTTTTTTTTTTTTTCATTCAGAAAATGGAATGGAAACCATGCAGCTCATTTAGCGTTTGGGTCTCATCCATGTCATTCTCAGAGTTTCAGTTCTGTGTTATCTTTATTCAACAATAATAATTTCATTATTTTGGAGGCCCTTGGTACAAATGTTAAATAATTTTGGATTATTCAGTTAATGACTATTTCCCCTAAGGATTCCAGGTCTCCTTCCTTTTGAGTTGTGTAGCCATTTAGGTATACAGGTTAATATGCAGGTTAATATTTCTTTTTTTTTTCTTTTTTTCTTTTTTTTTAACTATGATTGTTTTGCACAGGAAAATCAGGTTTTACAGTTACACTGATTTTAACTCCTTGCTTCTACTGTGCTTATGCATGATTCTGAAAAGGAAAAATCTATGATCAAAAAGCTACCCATAGCCAAATTGTTATTGTTTTTTGTCCTGTAGACAAAGTGAAGGGCGTGGAAAAAATTACCATGGTGATTCTTTAGTGTGTGGTGGTTGTTTATTAACTGAAAATTGTCATTTGAAGGATGCCAGCTGATTCAAAGTGGGTTTCCTGTATTCTGAAGCAATCACAACAATATAGTAGTCTAACATTTTCTTGACCATCAGTATACTAAATTTCCATTAAATTACTGGTTTTAGGAATTCTTATGGCATAGACCTGCTGTGATGATCAAAAACATTGTAGTCAAAGGAGCATTTCAGTAATGGCCTTAAAAAATGAACTGCTTCTATCTGTATCCACAGAATGTAACCGATATAAACAGTATAAAAGCAAAAACAAAAACAAAACAAAACAAAAAAGCAAAAAAAAAACAAAAAAATGCGTTATATCTGTGAAATAATCACCTCTTGTATCTGCTTGCAGAAATGTTAAATTCTCATATAGATAGTCTCTGTTCCGCTTTGTTTTGTTTTGTTTTCCATTGCGGGCAACACTTCTAGCATACACTGATTTCTAGGCAAGTTGTTTCTGCATTCTATTCTCTTTTTCAAAACTGCTGAAGAGATACTAACATGGAGCATTAATGTTTTTATTAAGCCAAGGCAAACTTTGAGCTGCTGCTAATCTAGTGTGCAAACAGGTGTTCAGACTAATCTATTACTGTAGATACAAAACGGTGCAGTTAAAATTGCCTTGGACCTTTGGGGCATAAGAGATGAAAGCTCTGACACATGATTATAGTATTTTAAGTTCATTATATTATTCTGTATAGGAATTTCCTTGGTACATTGTGCTTTGTTTTTGTTACAGGAAAATAATGTGGTTACTTAGTAGGGGGATTATGTCATGAGTCAGAAGGAGTTCTGCGTCAAGTTAATAATAAAGCCCTTATCCAGATCCATACGCTTTCCTGTTAATCTGGGAATAATGCTGCTATAGAAAGAGAAAATTGCATGTAGCAAAGGATTATACAAGAAAAAACAGCCTTGCTTACAAACTGTTTTCAAATGTACACCAGCAAACTTATATTACTGCCCTTTTTCCCTCACCATTCCTGCCTCCTATCCCTTTACCTTTTCTGATGTATGCTCATTTATTAATGTAGGTATCAGCAATACTTAAAGAATTGCTTGTCACAGGAAAAAG